CAACTATTACGCATTTCCTTTTACATCGTTCCGTGCTCTCGCGCAACACTAATTTTGCGCGTGTACGCTGAAAAAAAAAAATGGCCGACCACCAACGCTCTGTGTGTGTGTGTACGCGTATTTTTGGTCGACCGCTTCTGTGACGCGCGAACGAAAATGCTTGTTACGATATTTTTTCCACGGCTGGTCAGAGTTGGGGATCCTCCGCGCGTGTGTGTGTGCACACGCTTCTCTCCGCGGTTGAACCGAGCTTCGTTTCTATCGTAAACAAAATTAATTAAAGGGACATGCAGTGAGAGGAATTTTTTAGTTGTTTGTTGCTTACTACGATGATTCATTTACGGGTACGTGTGTGTTTCGTGGACAATCGAGGTTACACCGGTAACTGTGTTAGCCGCGATGGTAAAGTGAGTAGAACCACCGAGTTCATTTTTCCTCCTCCTTGGTAAGTGTAAGATTACCACCGGTGACAAGCGAAATGAAAGATAAGACGGACGACGTAGGTGGAGGAGATTTCGTTTGTGGATAGGAGACGACTGCTTGGTATTTTTTTTTCTGTTTTTTCTTCCGGTTGGTTGTTTTTGCGCGAAGTGTGCAGTACATTAGAATGAAGATCTTTATAAGCTGCAATTAACTTGAGCGAGGGTAATTTGGGAGTCTTGTTGTCTAGATTACGTTACTCGGGAGAGAAGTCATGCGTGTGGTGCGGAAAAAGCTTTCAAAAACTTGTAGCCTTCCTCTGATTATCTTGCACACGTACAGAGAAGGAGGTAGCTGGATGTATACGGCGTTGAAAAATTGTACAGAGAGTACGGAAGAAGTACAAACGTAGACAAAACTTTGGCACAGTGAATAAAGAGGGTGGATAGGACATTCAAGATGAGAAAACGTTCAAGGAAACTGGACAAGTATTATTTATTCAACGTTGCATCAATTTTCCAGTAAACACGAAAAAATGACAGAAAAAAACAATTATTTGCACGCATTAAATTTCTTTAAATAGTCTAGACCTCTTGAGTTAATTAAACTTTTGAAATATTCCTTGTCGTTTAAGCTCTGAGCTTTTATCTCAAGCTCCGGATTAAGTTGATACTTAAAAACTGTCCAATTTTTCATATCATAATTTCAGTGTATCACATTCTCAGTCAAAGATGACCCGTACTCTTCGGTGCATAGAAGTTGCCAGATTTCTGGAGAAAATATCACATCTTACGTCCCGAATTCGTAGTTGCTTCTACTGCAACCATTTTCAATTTCGCTCTAATTCAAATTCCCCCGGAAACAGCGTACTTCATAATGAATTTATCCACGAAGACGGTAGAGAAAATAGACTGCAGCTATTCGCGTGATGCGCCCAAACTCTGACACGCGTGTATAGTTGTCGGCCATGTACACACGTCTTTTGAGCCGGTAATCCAGTTCCCTGTGTCCGAGGTATTTGTTCGCTTCTGAAGGTGCATATACAGTGTCGTGGCTGGCCACGACTCGTGTGCACACCCCAGACTGTCAGTGTACAGAGAGAGAGAGAGAGAGAGAGGGAGGGTCGCGGTGGAAGAGGCGAATAATTTCCACCCAATTTAAACTCTCGATCAGCCTCGCCTCTGTTTCCGGGTATTGGCAGCCGGTGTGTGGTGGTATATCGATTATTCAGGCCCGGCAAAGTCAAATTATACGAGCGACCTTTCCCCAATAAACTCACCGCATGGAATATTAACCCTTTCCTTTCCCTCTTACACACCGTCACGTTCTCCCTTTCGCCTTTCACCCTGTCTTTCTCCAAGCTGGAGAAATGTGGTGCTGCAAGGACCTCGTGTATCATTCTGACGCGTTATGGCCCTCTTTCGTGCAGTGGAAATCTGTTATACAACACTTCCGGTCCCGTAGAGCCGCCTTAAAGAGGCCTCGAGAGTGGCTGTAGAAGGCCACTTGGAGAAAAATCAATCGAAGAAAATTACTCGCCTTTCTAGACCTCTCTCTCTCTCTACAGATTCACGCGTTTGTTAGTTTCTCTGTTCGTGTTGTTATCGACTGTAGAAATTTCTCCTTCCGCGTTTCTCGATACTTAACGAGGATCGTTCGGTTCTTTGCAAATGATATTCTTTCTTCTTCGAGCTCCGCTATCGTTCTCGATCTTTATGGAAAGCAATACCTGCAACGAAGGAATATTTTTTCTCTTTTTTTTCTTCCTTTTTGCGACCCAGATGGTTCTCAATTGGTGCAGCAGTTGTTCGGTAAACGAAGAGATTTCGAATTCTACCTTCTCTACCTTTCCCAATGGTAAACGCGATATTCACTATTTGTACTTCTATTGTTACTTATTCCGAGTGAAATTTCCGAATATTACGGAAAGTAGTAGCGGGAATCTTGCGTGCTGTTTTCAGGCTCGGCTTAATTAACGGGTTGTTGGAAACATTTCGACGACACGCTGTATCGACAGACACACGGCTGTTGTTACTGTTCGCAAATTCGATTCGAGTCCATTTCGTCGTCGCGTTCTCCCTCCGCGTTTCCTGAGTTCTTGTTCACGGTCGAGGCTCGTTAATCAATGCCAAGATAATGTAGGAGGAAGACATAATGGCGGATGCATGTGAATGGTGCATCGCGGAGCTGATACCTTTACCGGAAGTCCGTGGAACAGATGTTGAGGAATGGTCGAACGTTAAGTTTGCCTCCGGATAATGGAGTCGTTAAAACGTTTGACCGAGCTTAACTCTATCACTTTTCCATTCCCCGCTATAGGGAACGCGTAATTGCATATTTCGTATAGAGATGGAACAGACGTTGGATTACATTAAATATCAAATTTCACATCTCCGCGGTATTTTTCGCACCAACTCGCGGGCTCGTTTTAACAAAGCAAGCTTCTAATTTGGGTGTAAAATTTCACTGTGCAATTAAGTTCTTCGTCTGCAGTCTCTAACTTTTTACGTTGACTTTGAACATGTTGAAAAATGCAGTCGTAAAAAATGCATCTGAATTTTTAGAGTAAATGTTTGAAATTTTGTCGAAATTACGTGAGTTCGTTTATTTTTAATTTTCAATTTTTACCGTTCAAGTGTTTTCACGTTTCCTTTGATTTTTTTTTTTTTAGCTAGTTTTATCGGATGTGTAGTTTACGCGTTCATTGATTGCCCCGCAAAGTGTCCCGCGACAAAAGTTATAGCCATATTTAGTATAATAATACCCAGTAACTTAACTTGTTAGTCTGGTATAGTTTACTTTGAAAGTTAGGTGTAACAACAGCGAAGCTCGCTCATTACACCACAGCTGTCTGACGTTTTCTCGTTAGCCTTACATCACCTTCATTCGTTAAATCCGCTGCGATCTTATATCCCTGTGCAACAGAGACGCCGAAAACGACACTAATTCGTCCCTACATTCACTTTCGCAAGTATAAAAGCACTCGTCGAATGTGAACAAAGCTTAAAAAAGTGAATCAATTTAAAATCTCGTAGTGCAACGAGAAAATACAAGGTTTCACGGAAGTTTCGTAACTCGCGAGCCTAACTTCAGTCAACGTCGAAAGGTTACTCCTTTCAAAACTTACCGCCAGATTTTATATTCGAATTTTCTTCACCTCCGCGATTTTTCAAACGAGACTCATTGAAATTACAGTTCCAATTTTTAAGCGAAAAGCAGTCACTTTTATTCCCCATTCATCATACTCGCTTGACTCCGCTCTGTGTCACTTATTTCCCGCTTTTAAAACTGAAGAGTTCATTAAAAGCGTGCACTTTTCGAACCATTCCGGGGACAAAGGAAAATCCTTAGACTGATCTCGAAAAAGCAATTTTTAAAACTACCCGCCGAGTGTTATCGGAAATCCAAAAGGCGTCAACTATTTTAATTCAGCAACTTCTATTTTCGTGGAACTTGGTACGTTAAAATTACCAAAGAAACGCAATTTAAATCACACATTATTGTCCATACGAGCGTAACGCGTGTCTCGATACATCGGAGCACTGCTCAGACAGGCGAGAACACAAGGGCAGCACTGACCAAGAGTAATTAGATGACTGTTAATTCCACGTCTGACCAATGCCACTCTTCGATCACGTATAATAACACGAAGGGAAGTATAAAAAGTGCCGCGGGCTAATATGATTATCGAAATTCGATGGGACGCCTCGGTTGCATGCTGCACACACACACACACACACACACACGTGAGTTGGATCGATCCAAGCTGATCGATTCGAAAGAGGGGGAGGTGGGAGATCGAGCGCTCGTTTCCCTAGCCGCGCTTGCCACGAACGCGTATATAATCCTCTCTCTGCACCGCGTGTCGTGTAATTTTCGTCCTGTGTGTGCCCCCTCTGGCTCGTCGGGTCGGTCTGCGCTGTATTATTGCGTCGTATAATGACGTTGACTTCTGTACGCGATTTTCACGCAAGCTTTTCGCCGTTTTCCCGCCTCCCGATCGATCGATCCCGCTCCAATCGAGTTCGACGCCCTTACTTCGACACGGCCGCGGTGTGTTACTTTAGATAACCAATCTCTCCTCTAATGTCTCTCTTAGGGAGAGAAAGTCCTTTCGAAACGGTTCCATCGGCCACACAGGTGAAAATAAGGTAGAAACCAACGAGCAGCTCTGCTCTCGCGTGCCACTCTGCCGTTTTGGTATCATTGCCCGAGAGTTTATTTACGTGTCCGCACCTGCCCGAAGGCTTGCCGTTTTGGTATCAATGAGATCCTGCTTGAACGTCTTCAGGAAGCTCCTCTCATTTTTTTCCATTGCTAAGCTCACCGACTATGGGTGTCCACTGTGGTCGTTGTTTGGGAGGAATTTTTTTTTTTTGGAGTTGTTGGAGTGGGGTGTGTTTAATAATGTATGAAGCTTAGGGTGATTTAGAGAGGGTATCAATTTTCCAGAGGTTCAGGATGCGATAGCGTGATGGTTCTCTGCTTGTTGACAGGTAGTTGAATTAATATTCCTGTCTATTTTATGTTCGGTTTTTTTGATTTTGTTAGCATAATTGATTTTCGTAGAATGTCTGAGGGGTGGTGGAATTTGAAAGTATGGAAATTCCGGGTGGATAAATGTTGGTTAGAAAATAAATTAGTTGAAAAGTGGTGATTTATTTGAACGTACGAATAATTTTAGTAATTATTTTCTGAAGGGATGATTCGTTGGGAACGGAGAGTTCCGAACGGTGGAATGATCTCGTATTGTAGATGGAAAAATTGAACGGTAATATGGGAGTCTTGTTCTCGTTAACGATAATCCTTTGTTTCTGCTTAATGAAGAACACGCCGGATACGGAATTAATTATCGATGCATACGAGACATTTTGTTCTATTATATCGACGTTACAGCTCTCTAAATTCTGGTCATTCGTTTATTAAAATATGCTAAAACCCTGGTCATTAGGATTAACGATAATAATCTGAAATAGCAGGAACGATTGTGTGTGCAGATATGTTTCCCGATATTGATCTATGAATAATCATAATGTTTCGATAATTGTATCTCCCAATGTAGCTCGAATTTCCCCCAAAAAAAGTTAGTCGATATTTCAGAAATATTTTCAAAATCTATCCCCTTGAAATTTTCCCTTGAAATATAGTTCGAATTTTCCACAAAAAAAGAATTACGTTAGAAATATTTTCTATGGCGTTCAAATTTTTCAAATATTTCCCCTCTTTATACACTCTTCCTCTTTTTACAATTTATTTCACGATAGACTTGACAGATTTATACAGCAATCTCCTACAAATTTCCATTATTTACGGTTTTAAATACTCACGCAACGTTAAACGCGGTGTCATAAATCACGATCCGCGGGGGGAGGATAGAGAGAGAGAGTCGTCTAATGCCACTGTCGGACGAATTTCCCTCTAATTTATTACTCCGTTGACGTCCAACCTTTCATGCAGCGGGCTCGCGGAAGCACCTACGCGTCTGAAATCTTCTTACGTGCCGGTATCACGAGCTTCGCAGCACTCGCAAGAGCCAGGAACCCGACAAGTTCACGCCCCACCTGACGAGGGTAGTTTCTACGGGGGATGCGACGGGATCGAGAGGAAGCTTTCGTTCGTGCAAGTAATTCCTATTTTTTCCAATCTCTCCAGCACCGCCTTAGGGACACGCGTAATTTCTCCTTTGTGCCTTGGCAACTCGATTCATGCACCGAGTGTTTCTTCCCTTGTTGCAACAAGAACTTACACGGAAGAAGTAACCTCGTCCTTTTCGCATTTTCTTTATCCAATATGATAATTTTTATTTATTTTCGCAGTATTCGGTTCGTCGGGTGTTCGCTTTTGAAGGAAGTTCAGTTATTATTGAGTTAGAGTTGGTACTTCCTTTTAATCTTTTCGGTGTTTGGTCCGGGAGCGAATCTGGCAGAGTGTCAAGTTTATTTTAGACTTGAGGCAGAAATGGAGATAGGGTTGATATTCTCCGTTTCAAATATTCCCACATATTTCTCTAATATTCTAGTTTGCTGTTAATGTTAATTTTTTTATCGTTCGAACCTATCTTCCTGCGATTACGAGAATTCCGTGTCACCTGAACGAACTGCGGAATCTAATAGAAAAGCGTCTCGTTAAAAAACATGGGGCTCGTTGAAATACATGCAAATGCTCGTTTGGTCCGGCGGAACGAACGAACTTTGTCTATTATTTTGATCTTCCGAATTCGTCCCCGGGGAGAAGCTTCCGCTGGAAAATATTCAGCGCGTTATAGCGAGTTCTAAGACGACGTGAAAGAGAGAGAGAGAGAGAAAAAGAAGCGACACGTGAGAAAGATGGAGTAGCGAACGCGTGATCGTGTGGAACGACAAAAGGGGAAGGATCGCAAAGCGAACGAGAAATCTCACAAATTAAGCTTGAACGGTACAAGAGACGAGGCTTTCCGACCGATAGGATTGGCTGCAATCTTCGACAAGGCAATCCGGCGGACTCGTAAATTTCCTGGAACAGTGCGAACCGAGCCTAACAGACCCCGGCTGTCTCGATACCAGTTGGCCACAATTTCCCGACGACATGGAGATCTAATTCTAGAAATTTATTTGCCCGATAAACTGAAGGTGTTTTCAGCTGGATCCTCGGGAACGTTCTCGTGATTCATTAGCCTGACGTACGCTTTCAAAATTGGGGAAAAGGTAGTAGGTTGGTTGAACATTTTCGTTCGTTTACTTGCCGATATAGGTGTTGTTTTCTCCGACGAATTATTGCGGCAGGTTGATTCGGTATGGTAATTAGAGAACAAAAAGCGGGGAATAGTAGTAGCCTGGTTATCGGACGGAATAAATTGCGGAAAGTTTTCGAAAGTTTTTTCGATTTTCGTAAAACGACACTTTTCGATTCTTTCCGGTTATTACCTTCGATATTGGTTAGCAAAGCTATCGAACGATCCCCCTTATATTCGGACCAAAGCACTGCACGACTGTTTCCATTCGATTTACATAATTTCAATATTTAACAACACCGCGAATAATGCACAGGGTGGTCTGTTTGTCTGTTGTAGTTAAATTATCTTCAGTGCTGTTTTGATAGTTCAAGATGTCCCTTGTATTTTGGGAAAAATATTTTTCACGTCTCTCCGATATGAAGGACCACAGAGAATCAGGTCTTGTGAAATAAAAAAATGCAGAGGACCTTGGATTCTCGAGAAGGACAGAAATTCTTTGGGAAGGGTGCTCAGAATCGAGTAATTCCATCAAAAATAATACACCGTATTGCATGAAATAGCGGAGAAATTTTTGTTGGGTGCAGAAGATAGATAAACCCTATATGCAGGGTGAACCAATAAAAATTACCACCGTAAATACTATGCAAATAAAGAAATTCGCAAAAAATATCGCTGCAACCATAATTACCGTTCGAAAAATTCCTCTCCTATTTCAGTACCTCTGGTAATTTTTATCGACGCACCCTGTGCGTGTGTTTCGCACGCCTCGTTAAAACAGTAATTGACAAATCGATCAAAGGATCGCTCCGCCGGCAAAGTGGTAATCGCAGTTGTGGTGAGCGTATTGAAAATTCCTGTCGCGTCTCAGCGAGCTGCATTGCTCCCGTGGAATACCCGCGATATCTCGCAGCTTGTCGCCGCTTGATCATCGCGCGGGGCACCGTATTAACTCAAACAACGCGGCGACGAAACAGGAAATTCCGCGCTCCATGGTATTGAATACCGAGCAACCAGCCGGGGAAAATAAAGAAGGAAAAAATATACACGACAGAGAATAAATGAAGCAGCAGCCACGAGACTCTTGGTGCGTTGAAGAGGTGAGACAGAGAGTGGAGGAAGGTGGAGGTATGGGAAGCGGAGAGGCGGGACGAACGAACGAAAAAGAGGCAGAAGGAATTTAATTTGGACGAATTCTTCGGCACTTATTACTCGAGAGGGCTCGTGCGGCCCATGGAACGTCGCCAGGCGTCGTTCGAACGTCCGTCGTCGAGACGACGGTGCTCGCGGTGCAACGTCGATTTCCGCCGCTCGCAAACAGCTTGGACGTCGAGCGTGTCGCGACGAGTCGACCGTAGAATCTCTCTGATCGGCCTGTTCCACAATTGTCCTCTCTCTCTCTCTCTGGCTCACTTCTGGTAACAGCCGGCGTGCAACTGAGCTTATTTGAATTCCAGATTGGATTATCCGTCGGATTTGGATAAATGAGGGGATTCTATCAGTTAGCTATTCGTGCTGGCTGCGGATTAGGCGCGTAGATGAGAATCGGTCTCGTTTCGACCGACGAAAACTTTCCATCTAGATGGGTGAAATTTGGTGGTGGTAGTGGGTGTCGTTGTCGACCAGTTGTTAACTCGTAGCGAATACTGATGTACCGTCTCTGGTATAATTTCATGTAGCGGAAATGAGTTGAGGAAGTACCAGTTTTGATGGATGACTTATGGCCGAGTAATTTGTCGAGTTTTCGATATTGTTGTGAGGAACGACTGATTTGGTGTGAGAGTCTTCAAGTGTTACTATACTCTTATTTAACCCTCTATGGGCCCGTGTAACTTTCAAGTCACATACTAATATATCGATATTTTATTAAATAATTGAACTTCCTTCCACAAAATGGTATAAACGTCTTGTTGTACAGTGTCTCCTTATTAACCAGTAACTTTCTTGATAACCGTTGTTACTTCAACGTTACACATGTATTCGTTATGATAAAATTGTCGAAACTGCTGAATTCACTGTTATTCTCTATTTATAGGTCGATATTTCCTAATTTTACGTTACATAAATTCTTTTACACTCAAGAAAAATATTCGGCCCATAGAGGGTTAATTGTAAGAAGGTGTAGATTAAGGGTGCCGATAGAAAGTGGAAGTGACACTTTAAAGTTTGGTTGAGAAATTTTTAGCGTGAAATAATCGAAAGTTTAATTACCGTGTCGACCAATTGCAGTTGAACAGATCTCTATGAGATTCAAGAGATTCAGGAGATGTTAGAAATCTAAGAGATCTAAGATAGAGGTCTAAGAAATCTCTAATAAACTTCTAAAAAATAATAAAAATCCCTGTATAACGAATAAAATAAAATCGAACGATCTAAAGATATTAGAGTAGGAAATTTCATTCCTCCTGAATGATACTATAAAAAGCAGTAGATCACCCTAATCATTTAGCAATGTATAAATCTTCAACACCCTCGATGAAACCCACCTTCCACTTTAACATCAGCGACAAGTTAGAGCGATATTAAAATTCCCCAACAAGGAACAATAATAATTATCATATCAATCTGAACTTCCATTGCACGAGGGATCGAAGTTTAAATACTTGCCAGTTTTTCCTAGAAGATTAAACTACACGGTCCTCGTTGGTCCTAGGGGAGGTTCAGAATGATTCTCGAGCGAAGTAAGTAACTTCCCCGGTACCTTTTCATCAAACCCTCCTCTTCGTCGTTCCTTTCACTTTTTTCCTTTTTTTTTCGGTTGTTTCTTCAATTTTTGTTTGCCCCCTTGTTTTGCTTTCTTTTTTTTTTTTTATTTCTTTGGCCACGGAACCCCAGGAACGTCCGTCCAAGGTTTCGTGAAATTCCTGTTGCTCGCCAGCCGTGGCATGTGATTCATTGCTGTAATTTGTTTTTTCTCCCTCTGGCCTAACGCGGATACGATTCGTTGTTGCAGTATCCACGGAGAAGCAGAACGGCAAGCAGGTCAACGACTCGGAGCAAAACGTAGACGGCACGGCCTTGGTGCAATATCCGGACAACTTGAGTCTCTCTGATCTTTACTACTACGTCCTGGCGCCTACCCTCTGCTACGAACTGAATTTCCCTCGATCACAAAGAATTCGCAAAAGGTAAACACCAATAACCCCGACTCTTCTTTTTTCTCTCCCCCTTCGATAGATGTGTAAATCTTTTTTCTCTCTCTCTCTCTCTCTCTCGTTTTTTCCCTCCCCCGGATATTTTTCTGATTTTCCCGGAATAAAATTCTCCGAGGGGATTTTTAAAATAATGGCGCGAGAAATTGAGGTACATTTTAGAATCTTTATTGACGCTTGAATTTCTACCTTGCTGGAATATACGTTCCAAAATATCTAGCATAAAATGGTCTGATATTACGTCCTTTGGTATACGATTCTGCAATACGTTCCTCAATCTCTGTTCTTATATCTTGGAGGAAGTGATATTGTTATTCTTACGGCAAATTTTATTTCTTAGATAAGTGAACTTTCCGAAAGTGGTGTAAGTCTATATTTTAAGCGTTTTGACATTCTGTTTAAACACGTTGCTTCAGTTTCTTGTAAAAAAGATCGGAGAGAATGTTTAGACCTGAGTTTCCCTCCTCTTTAGTACTTTTTTAAGGACACTTTTCATTATATATCGTCTATTCTTTTCATATAAAAAGAAATTATAAAATGTCTAAGAAGAGTCTAACTTGAAGAACTGTAAATATTTTCCCATTTCTACTCTCCTGACTTAAAAGCAAAAAGAAGACATCTGTCTCTGAAGTAACTCGTTCTGTCGCGAATGAACTTCCGCCACTTTCGAAAAGGAGCCAATTCCACCCTAGAGTCAATATCAATAACCATAAAACCGGCGTTAAATTAAGTTATCAAAGTGTTCGAGAGTCTCCAAGTGCGCACTCAACAAGACAATCGTACACCATCCAAACTTCGTTTCAGTTCTAATCTCCGCGAATGCACACATTTTTATACCTACGTACCAACAACCCAGCTCGTACGCGAACAACCACTTCGCGAAAAAGTTTCCCTTCTTCGACGCTTCTCCTCTACCGAACGGAGGAACGGAGAGAGGGCAAGTGAGGAGAGGAGCGGAGAAGAAGGCAAAGTTGGCGAGCAGAGGAGTGTTCGTGAAATTAGATTTAAGTGGGCTATTGTTGAGAGAAAATAGAGAGAGGAGTCTAGGTTTGGATGGACTCCGGGGCCAAGGTGATGTATTCCTTTCCGTTGCTTCCGGCCTCGTACTTCCGATTGTATCCGGAATCCCGGAGATTTTCGTGGAACACTTTCCTCTCCCCGTCTGCACGGACGTATTTCAACGATTCATACAGAGCTGGACGGAGAGAGAGAGAGAGAGAGAGTGCATGGAAAAAGTGGAGTCTGGCTGGCCGACATTTCTTGCCACCGGCAGTTGTGTTGGCCCACGAAAGTCCCCGGGACGAATTGCAACGTCATATCGCGTGATTCCCTTCAGGACTCGGATTTTCCGATTTTTCACCGTACCTCCTACCCTCTCTCTCTCTCACTCGAAGGGTAAGAAAAATGTTTAGTCGACGCGGCTAATGTATTATTTGCACGGTAGTGACGTAGGCTAAGAAGATGCAGTCGCGACTCTATTTGACTAACATGCGCCTGCAAGTGGGTCATGTTTTCGCAGAACTAGAAACTCTGGGCTGCTTTGTGACGAAGAATGGGTAAATTTAAACCAGCCACGAAATTTTCATTCCACTCATCTATGTTAAATGCGAGATGCTGAAAAACCGGGATGTCGGGCTGCGAACGCTCGAATCACTTGTCTGGTTGTATCACTTGTATAGTTTGTGTGTTGTTGCCGCAGGCAGTGGCAACTGAGATTTGTAAAATGGAAATTTGTATGTTGGCTGTTGTGCAATGATAATATTAACCGTAGAATGGTTCTCTTAGCAGTCGTTCTTTTCGTAAAAATTCAATTTCTAATTTACATATACTCATTTTTGAAAAATACGAAGTCCTCGTAAATAATTCATTGAACAAGTAAATAAGTGTTCGTTAAACTCCCTTGCGCACTGATAATATTGACCATAGGACGATTTTCTTAGCAGCTATTCTTTTGATAAAAATGAAATTTCTAATTAATACGAAGTCCTCCTGAATAATTATGAAAATAAGGTACTTGGTGGTTCTCGAGTACTTAAGTAAAGAAGTAAATAAACATTTTCGTAGGAGTCATTTTTTTCATAAAAATGAAATTTCTAATTTACGTATACTCGTTTAAAAGAAAATACAAAGTCCTCGTGAATAATGAAGTGAACATTCGGCGATTCTCGAACACTTGCCCCAGAAAATGACAACTTGCAAACAAGCGTTCGCCAAGCTCGCGTCTATTTTTGCCATTTTAACGAGAATTTTCTGTGTGTAATCGCGTAACTCGAAGGAACGTTTCATTCATCTGCGCAGATTTCTGATTAAACGAATCATTGAGGTGGTGGTCGGCTGCCAAGTGATGATGTCGCTGTTCCAACAATGGATGATCCCGTCGGTGAAGAACTCCCTGGTACCGTTCAGCGTAAGTGTTTCATTTACTCTTCCTACGGAGCCTGTGAAATCCCCAAGCACAACCGAACGATGAGAAAAATCTCATTACGCCTCGTAAGCAGAGAGCCTCTCGAAACCGTACATCATAGAAAACAATTTTCCGCCCTTTTTCCTATCCGTTGTTTCGTGAACGTCGAACGGTATAGATACATTGTAGGTTGCAGGTATCGCGACGCCATGCATCACTCGTTTATCCCTTCTATTCCCCGACCCTACGAAAAATAAAGAATAATCTATCGTCCGATATATATCGGCGTGTATCCGTTGTACGTTATTAAGGAACCGGTTAATTATTTATAGCACCGGTCATAAATAAGTCTAGGTGGGAAGGAAAATGGCTTCTAAGATAGAGAGAGCTGGTGAACAGAAGTGTAATTTGGTTTCGGCAAATAGGTACGATCAATCTTTCTCGTAATTCCCCGACTGCTAGCTACGATACGCACAAATATATGGCCAACCAACCCCAACATGTTTCCCACTCTCTCTCTCTCTCTCTTGTCTCTCCCTTCTCCTGCTGTGGAAAATCCTCATGCACCCCTTGGTAATGATGTGTTTCTACGCACGCCGCACAATAACGGTCCTGACGAGCCATCAGTTTTTATCTCGTCTGGCTGTTAACCGACCTCTTCGTCCCCTTTTTCTGCTTATATTTGACAGGACAGGGATCATTTATTAGGAAACATAGCCGGCAGAGTAGGTAGGTTTTTCACGAGGATCTACGCCACGAGATTCCACGTGTGGTATCGCGACATACAGCTGTAATCAGGCTAGAGAGAGAGGAGAGCGGTAAATATTGCGGATAAGCTGGCTGGACAATTTGGACGGAATGCAACTTGGAGAATACACCGTTTTCCCACGATTGTATCTTTTATTATTCCGCGTAACACAATGACTGCTATCTAGGAGCGAGGAGGGGGAAATAACAGGCTCGGAGGATGAACGATAGGAACAGGACACTGAAGAACGATCCTTGCTTTCCGTTAATTCAGACGGTCTTTTCATAATTACGAAGTGTATATTTTCGGTTTGGGAATTTGTCGAGGATAGAGAGGAGGAAGAAGGAGTGGGTTCGGTTGAGACCTGAGATCGCGAGCTCGCAATTAAGCTCGTTCATTCCCGTTGATAGGTCGATTTACTTGTTGCCTGGTTATTCGTTATCGACTCGAACAGAGGGTCTCTTGCTCTCGTTTGTACAACCGTTATTTACAGGTCGTTCGTAGAATCGAATGATATCGTCCCGGAGTGAGAGTTTTCGAAAGAAATTTACACCGTTTCTACACGTATCGCGGTAAACTTACTCGGCGAGTTAGCACTTGTACACGTCGGGGAAATTATTTTTCCGCGCTGTATTTGCCGGACACGAGGCGACGACCACGGCGATAAAGACAACGGTGATCTCGTGCGCGTAATGAGTCGCTGGCAATTTCGCGTGCACGTGAAATTAGCGTGGCGGTAGGTGGCAATTGCGGCGGAGACAGGAAACCTCGCGAATAACGCAGGCGCTGACGCTGTCGCGATATTTCACCGATTTTTTTTTTCTTTCGTACCCTGCATTTTAATTTGTCCTTTCGTCCTTTTCCCCCCCTTTTCTTTTTGCTCTTCCTTCAACCTCTTTGGTCAGGCGGTGAAAATCGCAGACGTTCCAGTTCATTTCACGGGTGGATAAGTTCCGGGGATAATTAACAATCTGACGTTTATTCATTTAATCCTGTGACATTAATTGAAAAAATCCAACCACGGTGCGGTTTTGATTGTTCGTTAACGAGCGGATGAATAGTCCCGCTGTCAGCGTGCACCGGTGGCAGAAATTTCCCGCGCGTGTTCGCCCCAGCTTGGTGGATTTAAATGGATCCTTTTACGCGGACAGTTTTAACCACGGCTGATCCGCGGCGGACATCCGCGGTTTACCACCTATATCCATAGATGGCCGTGTAATGTAGTCGCTCGCTATCTGTGCACCGTGCCGCCATTGTGAGAAGCTGGAAATTTTCGGGTGATCCCTTTGTTTTTCAATGGACCGTCACGAGTACAGATTTTTTGTTTATCCCTTTTCTTTTTCACCCCATCTCTCGTCCGACGGAGAGATCAGGATTTCGATAGCGCCCGGGGAATGTCGTCAATAGGATTCAGTAGTAATAGACAGTGACTGGTCAGACGTGGGACAATTCACAGTCCGGGGCTAAGCTCTGTTCCCTTTAGCGCGGTTTAAAAATTCCGTGCATTATTTCGTGACATTTTCCGTCGAATATTCCATTGGAAATTTACTTCCATTACTTGATTTATGAATAATAAAGAAAGCTCTGGTAGAATTGTCAAATAGGCACCGCGGAAAATTGACGAGAGTTCGTGCGGCTTTGATGAATTTCGATATCGAAAAATTGGAGTCGGTAATTCACGCGAAATGTCGTTAAGAAACGACAATGGGAAGCAGTAGAAATAACCGTGTTGGGTCAGGCAATGCACAATCTCTATTCTCTTCAATTCCATTATTAAAGACCCCGTGTCATCGTTGATGACACATTTCATCGAATATTTCATTTCGAAATATCGTTGTTTATATCCGTCTGTTTGCTGGAAATTGTGAAATGTGAATTTTCGAACCAGTTGCATTTTTATAGCGGAAATATTGCGTTCGCGAGGAAACCACCCATGCAGAGTATCGGTAGAAAGAAAAAAGCAACAAAATGTGTGTAATATACATAAATTTCCTATTACCTCGCGAATTTACCTCGCGATATCTGATTAGAAAAATGCAAAATATGACAGTACGATAATATCTCGCCTGCTAAAATTACAAAAACATCGGCTCCTCCTTAGCGTGCTGTTTTCTGTACCGCGCGACCATGGAACACGGTCGACGGTAACGAATGACTAGGCAGACTTTTGCTGTTGGGCGTGCCGTGGTCGCGTTGTAAAAGCAAAAGTCGAGTAGGGCTGGGTGGGCTCTCGAGGCGTAATTACAATGCGACGAGTAACGGAGGGGGTGGTGTAGTTATCAATTGGCCGCGGATGCACGCGATTCATTGGCGGGCCTACAGTAGACCGAGAGCAATATCCAACGAGAATCGATTTCTTCTCGTTGTAACCGGTGCCGGTGTGTCGAGGTTCTCGCGACAGTGATAGACCATCGCGAAGTAGATCGAAAGACGGAGACATTTTCCCCTGCCAGTTGGCCGGCCGATCAGCGACGTGACTGTCGGCTCTGCCATCGTGATTCGCAATTATCGAATCCAATTTGTCCGCCAGAAAGGCAGCCAGAGCTGGCAAGGTGAGAGAGAGGCGAGAGAAAACGTAGAAAAAGGGGGCGGGTGGAAGCAGCGTGCGATCGAAGATAGAGAAAATGACGAGGCGGACGACGTGGAAATGGATAGAGAAAAAGCTTGCCACCCTGGAATTAACTCTCGTGCACCTTGCACGGTAATTACTTTGCGTCCGATCGATATCAGTGATCCACCATTTCTCTGTATAACTCGGGGAAAAAAATTGGAATCGAGACAATATCTGGATGATCCGATGGTCGCGCGAACATTCTTCTGTCTCTCCCTCTCTCTTGCTCGATACTTGGTCAAGTATGCGATAGTTAAGTAGTAGAAATTGAATTAATCGGCCCATTATTCGAGAATATTACCAAACTATTTTTACAAATATATCTTCGTTATTTCTCAGTTAATTAGTGAAAGTCAGAATTGAAGTCTTTTAGGTAATTAGTCGAAATTAAATGTTAACAGGATTAAATTGAAAATTCAACACTTTCCAAAAATGAACGTTAATGGGTTTCGAACGGGTGAAAATTGAAATTCCTGAAGGAAACAGGATTCTGAATAAAGACACCGATGAATTGTTGACCAAACACAATTTTATTCGATCAAAATACACAATTAACATTGACAAGGTAGAATTTTCGAAAGTTCCAACCGATCCAGTTTAGAAATTGTCAAAGTCAGCCAGCTATTACGACGTCGAATCTTGCAGCTGAAGGGAATCTCGAACGATTTACCGGAGCAATTTGTCCTCGGTTGAAAATCGTGTACAGTAGGAGAGGACCCGTCTGTCTGTTCGCCGATCGACGCGAAATCTCTTCCAGAACGTTGGAACTGCCGCCACTTACGTCGATCTGCACGATTCGACGCTATGGAAACGCTTAATAATCGGCTGGCTAGCAGCTGGGAAGGGAACAGCTCGAAAAGCACCTGGGGGATGAGAAAGTGGCGGGAACTATCTAATCGTGGATGCGCAAGTTCTCTCTAGCTGGTTGTCTTGGTTCGAAGGGTTGCCTCTTGTTGTTGCCAAGTTGCACGGTACCGAATGTCCGGTTCTAGTTGTTTAGGGGCGCGCCTCCATTTAGGGCTTGGTTCCAGCATTCGTGGAACCAAGGGAAACATTATTCGTGAATAGATTGAACTATACTCCAAGCTACCTGGTTAAGAAATAATGCAAAAATTATAGGAACGTTCGGTTCGTTTATTAACGTCGTTCTTTTAGATTCGTTTCACGCGAAACTGTATTAATTTCAGCTTACATTTAGATGCAATTTCTGTGTGTTACTGTACCAAAGTTGGTAGTTGGAGGCTACCTCCCCGAAGGCTTTCGCTCTAACTTAGATTTCGCCTGAAATTCTGTCGAGTCACCCTTTATAAGAAACTGTCTGCACGCTTTTCTAGTTTCTTCCATTAAACCTATCCATCTTGAGGTCCTCTTATTCTCGCCCCTGCGTTTCGCTATTTTTTAAAAATCGCAATCAATCATTCTTCCACTTTATTCTCGATTCCGCGAGAAAAAAAAAGAAGTAAAAGTAAAACAAGCATCGAATACGTGTCCTCTATTAACTCGGAAATTTCTGCAAAATTTCTGTTCGATTGTGTATTTTTAATCAGAGAAGGAAAAGCTAAGTGGTATATACACATTGGTGCTCGCAGTGTCGTTTTTTTTTTTTTTTAATTGGCAAGAAGCTTCGTCAAAGGAGAGACTTCT